TGTGCTATCTGCTTTGGCTTTGACTACATGGACTTCAGTGTGATTTTGCAATCTGGATTTCTGTGCTTCGTCCAGATTCATGTTCCTTGCAATTTGGTATCGGAGCTGGTTTGATTCGCCACTTACCTTTGGCACGCTGGCGTTGTACAGACTTGGTGCGTTGACGATGCTTCTTCGCATTGGGTACTTGTGACGTCAGGCCACAATAGGCGCACGCCCTGGGTAGAGAGGTGTGCGCCGGAAGGCTAAGACGGTAGTGTATGCCGTGGTGACATGCGGAATGTATGATTGGTGATGAGAGCATGTTGATGTGGCATTCGGCTGAGGTGGCACTGCACTGCGTTGTGGGTGGTACCGAGGCCAAGACCGGTCATCAAATGCACACTCAGCTCAATTGGTGAGAAATTTGTGGTTGGGGGCAGCTATCTCCAGGTACGTTGTTCCCTTACCTTATCTACTCGCTCAATCTCTTCTTACCGTGAGGAAGTGAGTCCAACTTGAGAGTCCTCTCTTTTGGTGAGGTGTCGTGAGCGCGCTACCTTGAAGGTCACACATGCTATGGCTTTGAAGGGCCCTGGTCGAAGCACTGGGTCACGGTCACCATGCCAACCCAATGGGAGTAGGTCACGCATGCGATGGCTGCTGTCCATTATGGCACTCGCTGCGCTAAATAGAAGTCCTGCCGGGTGTGCCAGCCTTTTATGAGACGCTTACCAGACCGTCTATAAACATTTCTGGTTGGGGACTTGGTTGATTCTGGCTGTGATCGTCGTCCTGACTGTGACGTTAAATAATTCTTGAAGAGATGGGGACGCTCTCAATATTCCTCTTGATCAGCCAGATCAACCGGGTGTAAGGCTCGTTCCGTACGAGGGTAAATAAGAGTGGACTGGCTGGCTTGCTCGGCTACGACTTGGGCACAGGGGTGGGCCGAAACACACACGAAGACACTGCTTGCTGTTCGGTATGTTGGATTGAGGGGAGGGTAGGTTCTAATTGGTGCTCAACTGTATACACAACCATACCCACTCGTCATACATCTGCTATATGGTCTTTTTGTATTTTGATTAGTTGGTGGACAGACTGCTAACACCTCACAGACAGAATTAGATTAGGACTGTTGTATGCTACCATAGCCAGTTCTGTCTAATCCTGCTGTAAGTGAACCAATCAGAGTACATCTAGACTATGTAGACAATCTGTTGTGAATGTTGTAGACATGCCACTTGATCGGTACAGTAGGGTACCTGCCGGACACAACTATTTTTAGAAAATTAGGTGTCGGTCAGACACATGCTGTGGTAGGACTCCACTAGGGGTTTCTAGTGCAGACAATGTTTGCCTAATTCATGAACGGGTCAGACGTCGATGAGGAGAGAGTTGACGATGCTAGACTAACACGTGCAAGGTCAGGTAGGATCCCGCACGTGTTCCAGGCCCTACAACTGTAAGACGAAAAACGCATCCGTGCCGAACGCAGAGCCCGTGCTCTCGCATCATCGAGAGAGGCAGCAAACGTTGCAGCTAGGGAACAGGCTGCAGTAGTAGCCAGGGCAACAACCATGTCTTCTGCAGCAGCATCCTCCACTGCATCTTCTGTTGTCTCCTCGTCTGGACCCCAGTTGGGAATGCCAATAGGGTCCACGGGCACTTCCAGTGCAGTAGGATCACGTCAGTCTACAAGTCAAATGGCGGGCTCGCAGTTCAGCCCGTTGACTCCTCGCGAAAGGGAACTCAGGGAGCTCCAACAGGTCGAAAGGATCCGTGAAAGATTAGAGAGGGAACTGAAACAAGCTACCGACAGAGAAAGGGAAATCAAAAATAGAACAGCCAGGCTTGATACATTAGAGGCTGACAAAGCTGAGTTAGAGGGCTTGGATGACTCTGGAATGAATGAGCCCATGAAAGTGTTGAGGAACAACATGTTGTCGCTGCATGCGCACGTGGACAGCATGTTGGACTTCATGCAGAACACTTTGGACCAGATCCTGGAAGTTCTGACAATGCCAGGATTTAGGCCACCAGGACAATCGCCGTTGCCGTTATCGGCGATGTCGGACCCCTTTCCAGTTCAAGCTGGTACACAACCAAGTGGTACGTCTGCTGCAGTCGCACATATTGCATCTTCTTCTTCGGGTCCAGCGGTGGGAGCTACACCACCGCAACAACTTGTTCAACAATCTGGACAGCCGCAGGGTCAATGGTATCCTAAGACCCCAATGAAACCGCCTCTTGCCTTCTCAGGCGAGAGAAAGGACGAAGAGCTCAACACTTGGTTGAGGACAGTCCCGGTTTGGGTGAAGGCCAAGAGGACCTTGCTGGAGGACGAAGTGGTTACCGCTGCATCTTACCTCGAGGGTAAGGCAACCAAATGGCTAGATGGTGTAGTTGTAAAGGCCGGGTACGGGCGACGCATGGCGGACTGGGCGAAGTCTTTAACGTTAGACCAGTTCATGGAGATGGTAGAAGCTCGATGGCATAATCCACAGGAGGCGCAAAGAGTCACTGATGCGATTAACAAGTTAGACCAACGAAAGTTCAAGTCGGTTAGAGAGCTTACGAATACCGTTGAGAGCCCGATCCTCGTTCCAGGCATCAACTACAGTGACCAGTTCCTGTTAACTACGTTTGTTAGATGTCTTCCAGAGAGCATCAGGAACTTGGTGGCCAGTGAGGCACGCGTCGAGTACCATTCGTTTGAGACATTGTCTAGGAAAGCCTTAGATTTGGAGGCCACTCTTGGCAATGCTCAGCCCTCCCATAATGACACGAAGAAGAAGAAGAGTCCTCAAGAGTGGAAGAAGAAGGGGGCAAAATTGATGATGGTTGAGTCAGATGGGACTCAAATGGAAATCGATGAGCTCACTGACCTGATGGACTACTCAGAGTAGGACGGCGAGGAGACCGCTGAGGGTAGCACCCTCGCCGCAGTGGTAAAGGCTAAGGCAGGTGGCCGAGGGAAGGGCCAACCAAGGAGTCAAGGGAAGGCCGCCTCCAATCAGACCAAGCAGGCTGATTGGGTGAAGGCAGGTCTTGATCAAGACGTGTGGCGTGACCGCCGAGTGCGTGGCGCTTGTATCAACTGCGGGGAATACGGACACTCGCAGTACAAGTGCCAGAACGCAAAGGTTACGCAAAAGATACCTCCCAAGATGGGGGCATCTTATTCCCAGGCTTCTAGCTCGGGAAACGCGTGAGGCCAGTGGAAGTTTTAGCTGCTTCTGCTCTTGGTGAAGTGGGCCAGATACCCTCCCCACTTCATGAGAAGGTCCAAGCTAACGACTCTTTAGTCACCCCACAGACGCATCTAGACCAAACTATACTATGTACGTTAGATGTGTTTGATGCCTTAGAAGACTTGGAGAGTGAGTGGTCAAACAAGGACCCTCGTGAGTCTTGGGTGGCGCTAAGGAAAGGTCGTAGAGCGGAACATTTCGTGGTGGAAGTCGATGTAGGAGGCTGCAAATGTGGTGCCTTCATAGACATAGGCTCCACGCGGAATTACATAAGTCGCGACTGTTTGGAAAGGCTGCACCTACGGGACCGGGTACGACACCTTAGTAGACCTGTAGCATCTACTTTGGCCAACAAGGACCGCATGATAGTAACAGACTATATCAAGGACATAGTCTGTACCTTCTCCTATGGAGGAGGCGAACTTAATCATAAGATTTCGTTCTTGGTTAGCGACGACTTACCATTCGACATGTTGTTAGGCATGTACTACCTCGAAGTTGCTAAGCCCCAGTTCGACTGGGATAAGAAGTGCTCAAGCATAAGTTGCCCGATGGCCGAACTGTCAGATTGACTAAGTTCAAGGCGAGTAGCATTATAGATACCTATGGCTGCTTGTGTGCATCAGAATTCTACAATTACTATAAGCAAAACCAAGAGGAAGGTATGTACCTTGTGTATGTCTTTGAGAAAGGGGAGGCCGTTAAAACACCCCCAGAGATAGAACGCATCGTTGCTAAGTTCCCTGATCTGTTCGAAGAGCCCACAGGAGTTGTTGAAAGGGAAGTTGTCCACGCTATAGAAATCATTCCAGGGAGTAAAACCCCAAAGGGAAGGATCTATAGGATGGCTCCCGCCGAGTTAGATGAACTTCGGCGACAGCTCAAGGAGCTGACAGAAAAGGGATGGATTCAGCCTAGTACTTCCCCTTACGGATCTCCCGTACTATTCGTACCAAAGAAGGGGGGTACTTTGAGGATGTGCATTGACTATAGAGGCCTCAATGCCATCACTGTGAAGAACGCAGAGCCTCTACCTCGCAAAGACGACCTATTGGATAGGGTGCAGGGATGCAAGTACTATAGCAAGATAGACTTGAAGTCCGGCTATCATCAGATCGCTATAAGGCCTGAGGACCAACACAAGACAACTTTTCAGACCTGTTATGGTCTGTATGAGTTTGTAGTGATGCCTTTTGGTCTTTGCAATGCGCCAGGAACATTCCAGCACGCTATGAATCGGATCTTCCATGACCATTTAGATAAGTTTGTCGTGGTCTACCTTAACGACATTCTGATCTTTAGTAAGTCTGCCGAGGAGCATGCATAGCACGTTGAGACTGTACTTTCCCTCCTGTGACAGCACAAGTATAAGGTCAACTTAGAGAAGTGTGAGTTTGGTCGCACTAAGATACTATACTTGGGTCATGAAGTATCCGCGGAGGGGATTAGGCCGGAAGATGCGAAGGTGGCTAGTATTCGAGACTGGCCACGACCTCAAACAGTCAGTGAGGTCAGATCATTCTTAGGAATGTGCGGCTACTATAGGAACTTCGTTAAGAACTATTCTACAGTCGCCTCTCCTTTGACTGATCTAACTCGACTTGACACGCCGTGGGACTGGAGTGAKGAGTGCGAGGGTGCTTTCAAGAGATTGAASCATRCACTCATGAATCATRARGTCCTCATGGTTCYTGATCCTCAGAAGCCATTCATAGTGACCACTGACGCAAGCCAATACGGCATTGGCGCAGTGCTGGCTCAGCAGGATGGGAAGAAGTTGAGACCGATCGAGTACATGAGCAAGAAGATGCCATCAAAGAAGTTGGCAAAGTCCACCTACGAAAGGGAACTCTATGCTCTATATAAAGCACTTGTCCATTGGAGACACTTCCTATTGGGAAGGTTCTTCTACTTGAGGACTGATCATCAGACCCTCAAATGGATCAAGATTCAACTGGCTCTTTCTGACGCACTCAAGCGATGGATTGAGGTCATAGCAACTGGCTCTTTCTGACGCACTCAAGCGATGGATTGAGGTCATAGACCAATATGACTTCAAGCTTGAGTACCTGAAGGGAGAGTATAACAAGGTTGCTGATGCGCTATCACGTAGAGCAGACTACCTAGGTACGCTAGTTTCTGACTTTGGTGTATCTGAAGAAGTAACTCAATCATTGGTGGGAGCCTATCAGGAAGACCCTGTCACGATGGACATCATGCGCAAACTTCAGGCAAAAGACAAGGCCACGGAAAGTGAGTTTGTGATGGTGGACGGGTTACTCTATCTTGATAAGGCCGGAATAAAAAGATTAGTAGTTCCATCTAGTGAGCGATTGCGTAGTTTGTTTTTTGGCGAATGTCATGACGCAACTGGGCACTTTGGCTACAAGAAGACGAGTGCTAACCTAGTGCAACCATTTTGGTGGCCAAGAATGTTTGATGACGCAAAGAAGTTCGTAGAGACCTGTCAGGTCTGTCAGCGGGACAAGCCGCGAACTCAAGCACCGCTTGGGTTGTTGAAGCCTTTGCCTATTCCTGCTGGTCCAGGACAGAGTGTTTCCATGGATTTCATGGACACCCTGGTGACTAGTAAGAGTGGCAAGAGGCACATTTTCGTCATCATCGATCGATTCACCAAGTACGCTAGACTAGTGGCTATGCCAGAGACCGCAAGAACTGACTATGTCATCAAGTTGTTCAAAGACAACTGGGTGCGTGACTTTGGTTTACCAAAGTCAATCGTTAGTGACCGAGATGTCCGATTCACAAGTGAGCTTTGGAAGAAGACTGCAGAACAAATGGGCAGTCAACTTCAGATGACTTCAGGGAATCATCCCGAAGCCAACGGACGAGCTGAGCAAATGAACAGAGTTGTACAACACTTGCTGAGGCATTACATCAAACCCAGCCAGGATGACTGGGATGAGTAGTTGCCTCTCATCGCCAGCCTGTACAACAATGCTGTCCACAGCAGTACCGGCGTTAGTCCTAATCAGCTACACTTGGGATGGAAGCCTAGATCAGCATTAGACTTCCTCCTACCTGAAAACCGACCCGCCGCAACTCCAGGCACACTTGAGTATGGTGTGCAGTATGAGAAGTTGCTGCAAGAAGCTGTCGAGCACATGAAGAAAGCTCAGCAAGCAATGATTGCTTATGAGAATCAACACCGTAGATAGTCCACATTTCAGGTAGGGGAACGTGTCTGGGTCAAGGCTAGTTAGTTAGGACAGGAATTCAAAATCTCTCACAAACTAATGCCTCAGTACTTTGGTCCCTGGGAAGTCCTGGATATAGTGGGGGATGAGATGGATGGCCCCACATATGTCATTCGTGTCCCTGGACACCTACGCACTCACCTAGTCTTTCATGACTCAAAGCTTGCACCTTTCGCTGAGACAGATCAATTCCCTTCCAGGAGATCGATGCTGCCCCCAACCATGGATGGTGAAGTGGACATCGACGACATTGTGGATCACAGGGATATGCCTGTTCCGAAGTCGCTGGGTCGAGGAAGACCTCCTAAACCCAAGAGAGAGTATCGCGTCAGATTCAGGCATCATACAGATCCAAAAGAAGATCGGTGGTTTACCAGGGAGGAACTGATTGTGATAGCTCCTCAGGTGGTTGCAGAATATGAGAGAGACTGCTGAAAGGGAAGGCACCTGCGAAGTAAGCATCTCAGCGGACTTTCGAAGCTAAGGGGGATGGAATGTGAGGATTGAGCCCTCAAGAAGGGGCCTTGCCATGATGTACATGTTCTGGGCCAAGGCCCCAACAAGTCTAGTGCCCGCCCTAAGTGAAGGCGGGCCAGCAAATCAACAAGAGCCCTCTGTGCAAACATTTCCCGAAGTGGGGTCCATATAGTTGCAGCACGGCAGTTGGTTGGAGTGCACCGAGTCTCGAATCTCTGCAAATGTGGAGACCCTAGGGCCTCTAAGTTAGTTAGGCCCTGGGCACTTGAACGTGAGGCCGACAATGCACGCTGGGTATAGAGGTCGAAAATGCCAAAGGGAAATCGGCCCACTATCTGAATCTGGCCGCAGGCCTTGATGAAAGAGGCGCAACTGCATTGCCCCGGGCCTCAACTATATCGGGCTTGGTTCAGCCACTGGGGCCCGGTCGCAGGCTCAAGGGAGGCCGCCCACACGTAGCACTGGCATATAGGCAAGCAGGGCGAGTGGGCAAGGATCTTGGCCAATGCAGGCATTGCGGGCACGCTGCGCTTATGCGAGGTGCTGTGCTGTGCAGAGCTGCGCTGCGCTAGGATGAGGCAGGCTAGCGCTAGGCGGTAGGGCGCTGCCTGTGTACTGGGCGCTTGGCGGCCATAGCCGGGCTGCATAGGGTGCAGGGGAGGTGAGGGCGAAGGTGGTTCTTCGGAGGTGAAGGTCGTTGTGTGGGTAACAAGGGAGAGTGTGGGTGAAGAGGACACGTACCTGGTGGAGGTGGAGGTCGGCATTGGTGTTGACATCATCACTCGCTGGTAGT